CCGGCAAACCTCAACCAATCAGTGACAGAGGAGCGGGAAAGCAGGGAAGAACAAGGTGGTAAACAACTTTTGGCGGGAAAATCTGAGGGATAGAGGGGAATAATATGGGGGTACATTAAACTTGATGTAAAACCAATGATGAACTGGGGGATAACAGTCACTCCAATAAGTTAACAGTCCATTTAAGCTCTGTAAATGTCCCTCCACGCTTGAAATCTTTCCCAATCGGACTTCTCATTCTCCTCAGTGGGGGTTGGTCTCTTCTCCCAGACAATCAGCAGTAGGACAAGAGGGCATGGCCTTAAGCTGCGCCAGGGGAGGTTTAGGTTAGATATTAGAAAGAAATTCTTTACAGAGAGGGTAATCAGCCATTGGAATGGGCTGCCCAGGGAAGTGGTGGATTCTCCCTCCCTGGAGGTTTTTAAGATGAGGCTGGACGTGGCACTTAGTGCCATGGTCTAGCAACTGTGGTGGTAGTGGATTAAGGGTTGGACTTGATGATCTCAGAGGTCCTTTCCAACCCATCTGATTCTATGATTCTATGATTCTATTCCAGGTAAGTAAGAGAGGTTTCAGCAGTATAGACAGTTCTTCTTTACTATTGTTAGTTTGAAGTGTTCTCAGGAAATAAGTAGTTTCATTATGGGTGCTTTATAATCCTCCTCCATTTTCAGGTGCCATAGTAATGAGCACTGTGGAAATGTCATTGAATGTTTTTAAAAGAACCTTGGTTAATAATACAGGCAATGTTGCTATTTTGGCTGTATAAGCACTTCCATTCTATGGCAGTGACAACTATCTTTTGAACTAGAACTTCCTATATTTAGCCTCTTACCAGTTCAGTTCTTCTAGAAGCTTGAACAAAACTAGTTAATTGTGGTCTGTTAAATACAACTTTTTTAAAAACAACTTTCATACTGTAATGTCAGAATGGGGAGAAGCTTGCATGATGGCAGGGGGAAATTTGCTAATTTTACACCTGATGTCTTCTGATATTTGGAAAGGCATTGAGGTTTGTCTGCAGATGCTGGGGAAAAAGAGGTAATTTAAAAACTTGGATTTCTGTATTTTATTAAATACTATTTTGCTATCCTCTTTGGGCAAAGCTTGCAACAGTAGAATAAAGTCTCTAGTGTAATTAGTAGCACCTTAGAAAGCTTGTTGAGAAGTTGTTAATTTTGGTATGTTTTCTTTGCTTTTCCTCAGTATCCAGCCCTGTTGGAGGACAACATCCATCAGTCCTTGCTGACTAAAGCACAGGTGTATTTCAAGGCACTTAGGTCCTGTGGAAAATAATTAATAAGACAGATGAGCGTGTAAAAGACTGTTAAGCTTTACTGACTGAATATTCCATGTTGTTACTTAACTAGCTGATACAGTTTTTATACAGAAACTTAAAGACTGTGTGAATCCATATACAAACTGGATGAAAAATGAGATTGATGAGCTAGCATTCATTTTTCATTGACCCACTGTCACCCACTCAGACAAGTAATATTCTGCTTTTGTCTGTATTATTGAGAGTTCTTTATATCAATGAGAGTGACTGAAGGTGCATTTTGTAAATTGAGCATCTTAAGTTGCAAATTGAACCCGTAAGTTGATTTTTGGGGAGTGTAACTGAGTTTGTAGTTCCTCATTAGTAGTCACAAACACTTAGTATGAGTTAGTGTTGGGGAAGTGTGTGAAGGTCTGTAAGAGGAAAGTTGTTTATGTTCACAGAATCACCACTGTGTACCTTTATATTTATTTGTTTGCTTCTTCAGACTGTCTCTGTTTTTGTTTTTTAAAGAAATGAAACAAAAACCTTTAGGTTATCTTTTGCCTTGTTTATCCGAAAGAGATGGCTGATCAGACTTATATAGTTCATAGTTCAGATGAAGCAGGTGGTTGGGAGGAGTTGTTTTTCTCATTTTTTCCCTTTTAGCATATTATGTTCCACATATTTGCAAGACTGAAGTTGAGGAGGGGCATTTGGGAAAAGCGAAGGAACTGTATTAAATAGAAGTTGAAACCTAGAGTAAGATAGGTATGTTGACAAGTTTGAGATGAGTTCAGGACCATTCTTGTGAATTGGTTCCTGAAATAGAAAAGATACATTAATATCTGATCCTTAAATTTGTTCAGTTGCCTAAACATGTCAAAACTATTGCTACAGTATGACATTTTCTATTAAAGACTTGTTTTAAACTTTTCATATAGGCTGTTAAATTGCTGTTGTGTAGTGAAACTCCTGTCAGGCCTACCTATAATGCAGACAAGTGTTACCTTTTGAGAGGAGGAACAAACCTTTTTTTTCTGGCATTTAAATTTACTTGAAAAAGGAAGTTCTTGGAGCATATTACAGTTTGCTATAAAGCTTAAAACCAACCAACCAATTCCATTCCTCTTCAAGCTTCCACCCAAAGCAGCACTTGTTTTGTGATGAGACCAGCACGCTCTGAGACAATGCCGTGGAGGTAAACCAAATCTCTGAATCCTTGTGCAGGAGGTACAGCTCTTTCTTTTAAGGAGCAATCACTTTTTAGTTCACTTAACCCATCCACCCCATGCTACCCTAGTAGCTTTTCAGTGCTGCCCATTCAAGCAAAGTGGATAAGTGGGGTGTTGATTAAGGCACATTCTTATTATTATATTCTTATTATAACCAATCTTATTTCAGCTAATTATAAAAAACAGGGCCTATCGTCACAAGGCCTTTATTGAACTGTTTACAACTTTATTGGTTCGTGCAATATTCAAGCAATCTCAAATTACCCAGGGTTTGTAGGTGTGGATAACCTTTTATCTGAGGGTGACTTTGTGTAATGGCATCATCTTTATTTAAAAGGGAAATGTGTTGGGTTGTAGATGTTGTGTTTGAGGTGGTATTGTTTGAAGTAGTGTTAAAGATGTCTTGCTATAAAGTGTACTTGCGTTCACACACACATACATATCTCCGCTCAACTTTCTCATTCGTACTCCGGTGGCCACTGTTTCATTCTCTCCTTACACATGCATTCTTAAACCCTTTATTGTGTTTGACTCATGGAGTTTTGGTTTTGTATTGGTTACTGTTTATGTGTTTCTTTTTTTTTTTTTTTTTGTTTTTTTTTTCGTTTTTTGTTTTGTTTTTTTTTTTTTTTTGGTTTTTTTTTTAGGTTTGAGAGATCGATAGATTAGTGAAAGGGTTTTTGTACATAGTGAGGCTGCGTTTATATGGTTTTCTGGTAGTGTATGTAAAGGCATCACCTCTGTTTTAAGGAAAGGCCATTATTTTATTGATTTTGGGGTACCTGTTTCTTGGGTCACTTGTGGGTTCAGCTGCAATAAAGCTGCTTTTGGGAAAAATCTGCTGTTAATTGACTTCCTCTTTGACAGAGGCAGTCTCTGAACTACAGAATGAGTGATTTCAGTGGGTCCAGTGAAAACAGAGTTAATGTTTGGGTTATTGCTGGTTATAATGTCTGTGTTTTGCTTTGGGGATGCTAGTTTAAGAAAACTTGTTAAATAGGTTTGGATGTTTTTTGAGGGCCATTGTGAGGTTATATCTGTTCTACTGCTAAAAATG